TTTTTTTTTTTTTTTTTTTTTTTTACAAAAAGCACCACGACAGATGTCACTTTCCTGGGACCGTCCCTTTTGTGTCATCTGCAGAGGGCAATGTGGGGCATGAAACGCTGGGGCTGGGACCCGGTTGGGGGTTGGAGTAGAAGTTGGCAGGTTTTCTAGAGAGGATGCTTTCAGCTCTTCCCCCCAGGCAAACAGTTGGAAGGATCCCATTCCCCCAAAGAAAGGATTCCTTAAATGATGATGGCCAGCTTCTCTGGTTGTAAGTGTACTTCCTTCATATCACAGCTTAGAAGTACATTATAGAACAAATGTGGGTTTTTTTGCATATGTGCATAAGCAAACTGTATTCAATGTTTCTGAGTTAAAAAAGAAAAAAAAAGAACATAAACTATATTCAAGATTATTTGACTTTTAAAGACCTGTGAATTACTCGTTTTAGTGTTTATTCCATCTCTAGTCTGGTAAGATCTGTTAGGAAAGTACACGTTTGGCAGATGTGATTAGTATACAAACCAGGAAATCATCATCACCAGGTTAAAGGGAGCGAAGGGTTTTGTTGTAAAACAGCACTACTGTTGATCATTTTGCAGAAAACTTCTGCAGAAGTAGACTTTCTCACAACGCAACTTTAAATCCTAAGATCTCCGGATTTATGAGCTAAAACTTAACTCAGTTGTCATATCTGTTGTAAAATCAAATTACTATGTATAGTTGAAGTGTACTGACAACTTGCAGACAAACTGTTGCAATAAGATAATGCTACAGAATTGAGAAGGAAACTTTTTGTTGTTTTTTTTTTCTTTTTGAGTAGTGATATCCTGTGTTCTAGCAGTTAAACGGAAACCTGTTCATATGAGAACTCCTACCTGACTCATATCTGGGGCTTCCAAACCTGGTTTATTAGATCAAAATTTCTTAAGGAAGATAGAGGGCCTTAAAACACAAAGGATAACAGCTCCCTCAGTAAAATAAGTAATTATAGGTTGTAAGAGTAGAAAGGACGTTTTATTTAGACCACAAAGCACTTTACTAATACACAAACTCAGAGGGTTACAGGGGACTTCAGGTGAGGGCCATCTAATTCATTTGTTGCCATTCGAAAAGACTCACATTTAAGCAATTGCAGACATATCTTCTCTCTTTTCTTTCTCTCTCTCCCTATCTCTTTTTACCCTTCCCCCCTCCTCTCTCCTTTCTCTCTTCTCTCCCTTTTACCAACACCCATATCTAAAGTGGAACAATTATTACACATAGGAAATTCTTTCATCCTTAATAATTTATACATCTTTGAGAAAAATCTATGATTTTCATTTAAAATTAAGTAGATTAGTATTTTAATGTGATTTGATGCTTTCCTCTGTAAATAGAAACTTTTCTTTAATTAATTTTTATTAGCGCTACTCACTGAAAGCAAAAATGATAAATTACTCCATATCCAGAGGCAGGTGTTCTTATAGTATTTTGGGACCTTGTATATGATGTGGTTTTAGGTTATTGTTTTAATTCAGTTAAGTTTTATTTACTCCTTATCACAGCATTTACAGTGCTAACTTTTTGGCTTAAATTGCTTTTGTGTATGTGCATAAAGGTGATAGAGAAATATTAAAATGTAAGGAGAAATATATCTGAGGTATGATGTATGTGCTTCTTAATACATTTTTTTCTGTATGGGTATTTTATTTATTACACGCATTTTCTATAATTGTGTTACAAGCATTGTGATATGTAATTGTAAAAATTTATGAAATATATTTTATTAATGCAATCCATGAGAAAACTAGAAACACACCTATATTGCGTTTTTTAAATAGTTAAAAAAAACTACAATTTCTGGGAAAATCTAATTAATGGTAAAATAACATCACCACATTTTATTGATCCAAAATGCTCTCATAATCATGTTGTTAAAAACTACAAAATATGATAATGCTTATAATGGATGCTTTATGACTTTAGGTAACATTATTTACAGAAATGTGTACAGAAATTGTTCCCAACATCTGAGTGATTTAATGAAATTGTGAAATTAACATTTAAATAAACATTATTTCTATGACTTTTCTATTCAGCAAAAAGAAAAAAAAAGTGAGGGATGTAAACAGGAAATGAGGCCCAAGAGAGAGAAAATAGGGTAGATGAGACACGAAGCCAGTAAGAGAAAAGAATTGTAGGATATGAGCAGAATAATGCCATGAGAGTGAGTGAACGATGGATCAGAAGAGCTTATAGAGATCCCCAAAGATGAGTGATGTACCAATGGAGACTTGGCTAAAGAGGATTGTCGTTCAGGACTCATGACTTCTTAGCACTTCTAGCTACAAGGGGGGAAAGTGCAAGAAAAAAGTACATGATCATTGAGTGGAAACTCTTACATACTATTCTTATTTGAAAAAAAGAGATTCTTCATTTCCCCATAGATTTCCGTAAAGTGTTGTTGAATAGAAATTCTATGTGTAATGGTGTCATTGGGAATTTTATTTTCCTACATAAACATTTCTTCCCCTCTCTGTCAGGTAACGGGGGAAGACAGGTCCTGACTTCTAGGGTATTTTAATTTGAAATGCTTTGTACGCTATTCCGAAATACACAAAATGGACCATTTTCAATGTGGTCACTTTCAAGGACCATAAGATATTGGCATTAAGTGGCGTTTTGATTTGTCTGAGGGCACATTTTTATTAATGTCCACTGAAGAAAAATGAATGAATGAAATAAATACATTATTATTTCTTAGCAGTACTGAAAGTCACAACAAGAACTCTCTCAGTGCCTTATATTGACTGTTGTGTTATTAGCTAATTATCAAGATAACTCAAAATTCTCTTCCCAGAAAAGAAGTTGGAAAATAATACCTGCCTCAGGTACTAGAAAATAGTAAGACCAAAACTCTTAACTATTCATTGTTCTAGAAATAAGTCAAGCTTTACATCACTCCAATTACAAAGGGCTATATAGTATTTTTCCTTGATGCCCTTTAACTTCAGAAATTCATTGCAGAGAGATTATTTTTGAGGATTATTAAGAAAATGGTGATTAAGAGACCCAAAAGAAAAGGGAAAAGTTGTTATCTTGTTTTAGATCTTTGTTTTTACAGACAGAGCACTATGAATTTTTTTCATTTTTTTTGTAAGAGAACCTGGGAGTTTTTAATATCAGAGAGAGCAGGCAGATTTAGAAAGCAAATGTCTAAAAATCTCACTCCAATGTAATCTATTTTCCTTACTAAATTCTTCAGTTTAACGAAGTAGTAAAATATTAAATTAAGAATTGGTATTCAGTGAAAAATCAGGCAACACATTTTAGTGTTATCTCTTTATTTGCCTACCTATTAATATACAAAAGTTCTCTTTATTTACCTATCTATTAATATATAAAAGTACATTGTCGGATTCATGATCAGCATTTAATTCCATTTGAGGACCAACTAATTAAATGTTATTCCTTCATTTAAGTATAGTTAAATGGATGATTGAAAATAAACCAGAATGTATGGCTAAGAAAAGATTTCAACGCATTGGGAGACATGAGTCAACATATATTCAAATGAATAAAATTTAGCTTTTTTAATTAAAAATTTAAATGGTCCAATTGCAGTTTATTGTTATTTTGACTGTTGTGAAGAGAACATAAATAGGCTTCCGTGGTAGAATTACTTTATGTGACTCATAAGGACTTTTACAACAATTTAAAACTACTTTCAAATACTAGAAATATGATTAGTGTAAGCACTCAATGAGTTTGGCTTTGCATTCACTCTTGATGAATATAGTTCATAATCCACAAAGAATAGCAACTTACTTTGAAAATTGATATTTTTACTATAGTAAAATTAAGCAAAATCAAATTTTTGAAGAACTTTCATCACTTTCGTGGGCTAACATTTTTTATGACTTATATTTTCAGAAATGATAAAAAGGTTTTAGAAATTAATCTGGGTGGTAAATATACACATTTATTTCATTTCATAGGATAACGAGGGAATAGTCATATTGTTTACTAAAAGCAGTCACATAGTTAAAAATATTCTGTCTTTTATTAGAAGAATGATGTCAAGATTATAATTAAAGCAATCTAGTCATGTGCCAGTGATCAGAGCTTCCACATGCACATCCATTTCAAATGTACACTTCTGCATAACCAACATTTTTTTTATTTCTCTAAATACTTTAGGTGGATTTCATATTTGTTCCAAACACTAATTTATTAGGTGATGGATATTGCATTAAAGAAATGATGCATGATATGATAGAGAGTATCTTTGGATATTTATGTATGATATTACCC